CGGTCCATTATTTTTCATGATTAGATAACAGATATATTCACCAAATCGCTTTCGTCAAGTCACTGCAAGGTTATTATTTCCAAACTTAAGATGGCTTCATATAATCCACCATGACTTTTTGTGACGTCCCGAATTTTTTGGTATTTTTCTAATTTTTTATTTTCATTGTTTTTTAGCACCTCAATTTGCGTGTCAGGCACCGTTTAGCGTGCCATGGGAGTCCCGAGAGTTGATTAGGGCATTTCTAAGAGTTCTAAGTTTAGAACTCTTAGAAATGCATTTTTTTTGCCATTTTATCATTTATCGGAATTTCTGACCGGGACGTCCCGTGTGGGTCTCACGCCTGTGTTTCTCGTGCTCGAGGCTACTTCTCCGGGTCACTACATTTCATTATCATTATTTGGAGTGTATCTATGTGCAATGTTGCACTTTTGTTGATGTGTGTAGCATGGAGGGCATTTTGGGTAGTTAGTGTGTATGGTTGGGACCACTATTATCTTGGGTGACTATATAAGAGACCAATATTGATTTTAGCCTCATTTCTTCTCCTCTCTCCACCAACACCTTCTCTCTCTCCCTCATTCTTCTTCATTTTTCTTTTCCTCCATTGTTAAGCATATATATAAGCTTGTGTATCATGCATCTTCCTTGAGATTCAACTTGAGCCTTAGTGGAAAAAGTTGTAGATCGAGTCAAAGGGAGCAAGATTATGGTTCTAGATTTTCCTTTCGTGAATCTTGATTTTTCGGACCAAGGCTAGAGCTTGGATTTTGGGGTAGCTTCAAGAGGGAAAGTGGTTATTCTCTTATTCTTCTATACTTTGGTTGGCTTAGATTGCAAATTAGTGGAATTTCAAGTTAGAGCTAAACTAGGGATTGACTTACTTTGGGGTAGGGGTTGTCTAACTTGTGTAGTCCTAGGTTGTGGTAAACTATTTCTTATTTTTTCCCTTTAAAGCATGCTTATTAAGGTGTAATTTGAGAAAATTGCGTTCTATGATTTTCAAGCATAAGCTTTAATTGCTAGATTGTTGCTTAAATTGAAATTTATGCTATATTATGTGTTATAAAGCACGATGATTATGTTGCTAATTGTGCTAATTTGGAAGTTGTATTTACTATGTGTATGATTGTGTATTGTTATGTGGGTTAATTGAAGTAAATGTCAAGTGTTGTGATTTAAACTATGTATAGCATGTTTATTACATGACTACCTACTTACATGAGAATGTCTCTTCCATTGGAATTTGAATGCTATGTGCTTTGGTGGACAATACGACCTCTTTGATAAATTATGAGCAAAAACATGTATATTGTTTTAATTGAAATTGTGTGTTGATGATGGAATGCAAGGTTGTCTTAAAAATTATTGTAATGCATTTTCATGACATTCCCATGGCATGTGGTTGGTGTAGGTAGAGTGGAGTGTAGCAAGTTGTAGGCGAAAACGGATTTCCGCAAAGTTGTGAAATAAAAGTTTTTCTTAAACCGGGATTGGGGAGGTACCCCTTTAACAACGATACTAATAGGTCATAAGGATGGAAGGAGATACCAGAAGTCCGGCCACTTAGTACACTTTTGGTGTGAGTATGTATGAGTCAATTGTGTGTGTGGTGTAGTCACATAATGTTTGACATTCTTTTGTAGTTGAATCTTGCTTATGTGTTTGATGGTTGATTGGCGATCAAAGTCTTCTGCATAATCCCTCTTCATCTTTCTCTGTTCTTATGTGTTATGTGCTATACTTACTCGACTTGAGGAAATGCCATTTAGGCATCCTTTACTGAGCGATGGTGTTCATCCCATTATTTTAGGAAAACGGAAAAGATGCATTGAACGATCCACAACCTCTTCTGTGGTAGCATCGTGGACTTCTTTTATCGATTTGATGTTAAACTTGTTTTAATACTTGTAAATTTAATGTAAATCGGATCTTGAAATCAAATTTGTATTCAACTGTATTTTAACTTATTGCAAAACGCTACAAGTCAATTTGGATTTTTATGCAATTCACTTATTCTTAGTATATGCTAAAACAGAGGTCGGCAATCCAATGGGTTTATTTGAATGGTAAGTCCGGCAATCTGAAGATTCGTCTCCCTATTATGCAAATAGTTATTTAGAGTTATATTCACGAATGAAAACCTAATCTTTAACCGATCCATGTGGTGGGGTTGGTGTCCCGAGAATTTGCCCCGCATACCCCGGTAACCTAAAAAATCGAAAATGAGAGGTCGGGCAATTAGTCTATTACTTCTATATTATAATGACGGCACAACTGACCTATAGTGATATATGATTGGTGGCAAGTGATGAATTATGAGCCAGAAGATGCATATGACAGCATCTTAGTTGATTTAATTGGAAAGTCCAAAGTTGTGGAGTATTATCAGAAATGGTTAAAATATCCCTCACAAGGGAGTGATGGTGAACTGATTGCAAGTTCTGAAAGAAGAAAAATAAATTAATTAATTAAATAAATAAATGGATTGATTTATAGTGTTTTTTTTTTTTTTTTTTTTTTTTAAATATTATAAAGGACACATGGTCCAATTGTGTTAAGATTTTCTACTGACATTTAAGAAGGCAAATAATGTTTAAAATGAAATTAAATCATACCTTGCTTCGGATTTGGAGACACAATTTAAGGATCTTGAATGAAAAACACTATATGCATATAATGTATAACTCTCTATATGTTTTGAAAAAAAACCATAATATTCAATTTTTGAGCAAAAAAGAGATTTAAATGCTGAAAAGACTAAAGTATTTTTTTTTTCTTATTCTTATATATAAGGGCATTATTGGAAGAGAAAGGGGTATTTTTGGAATAACGCACTTATATATCCAAAAAAAACCTTAGGAGTGATATTTGTTCAAAATTTAAATATTAGAGGTGTTTTTCCCGCTCACCATTTTATTGCAAAGTGGATTAAGAGGATTGAGTTTGATAGGTATTGAGTTTGAATTTTAATAATAGCTCTGCGTAAATAAAAAAATTGAGTTTTTAGACGGCGTTTGTTTCGACGTAAAATATATATATATTTTTCCATGTAAAATGTTTTTTTATTTTTACTTATTTGGTTTTCATCATAGGTTTAGATTGAGATCGAATCTATCGGACGGGAAGTGTAAAATAACTTGTTGAAAATTGATGAGTAAGTTATATTTGTTAGATTTTAATTTTTCTTTTTCATAAATATTTTACGACAACCAAATACCAAAAAATAAAAATATACTTTTTAAAAAATATTTTACACCTAAACAAACAAATGGAGCCTAAAACATGGGCTATTCAGCCTATTCAAAGCACCAAAAACCTCTTCAAAATTTTTAACACTCTATCTTGTTTCACTATTAACACATGGCATTTCTCCAACAATCACGTTCTTTTTTACTTGAAACATAGTTTCTCTTTTTTCTATATATTAAAAGATTAGTTTTTAATATTCTTGCTGAAAATCCCACAATATCTTTCACAAATTTGGTTAGAATTAAAGGAAGTTCAACCACAAATATTGAAAAGTTACGTAGCTTTTGGTTCAATCAGAAATTTGTTTTTTCCAATAATAATGTTATTAATAAAAATGTTAGTTTTCCAAATATATTATATATGTAACAAACCACTTGCCAAAAAGAAACTTCCACTAAAACCTTAGTGCTAAGGGGGTTACAGGATAGAACAAACAAGAAAAGTTTATCAAGATAACCTCTTGCCATTTGTTGTTCTGAGCTTCCTTCAAACTTCTGAAATCACTACTTACAAATTAAGTTCTTACATCCCCAAAATTCATTCTTCTGTTTCATTAATACGGGAATTTTTTCGATCACTGCCTGGTGTATATATGACGGGATTGCATAAGTCGGTGGTAAATTATGAGGTGTTCTAAGAAACTCAACATTACCATCATCAATTAGTCCTCCCACTTTAATTGTCCTGTTTTGAAACTGTGACTCACAATCAATTCATGTGAGTCACTGTTCCCAAAACAGGACAATTAAAATGGGACAGAGGGAGTATATACTTATATAATATATATATATATATATACATGCACACTTCATAACTATATGACTTATATTATTACACTAATATTACTTAATATAGTTTTTATATTATCTAATCATGCTAACACTTGAAACGATTAACTAACTATAAAGTATCAAAATGAAATAATGTTGAAATTGTCGCCCTCTTTTTCCTGCCAACTCCTATGTTGTGCTTCTGACTGTTTTCTATGTGGCCGTAATATAGGCTTGTGGTGGTTAAGACCCGGGATGGTGCACCCAGACACATTTAGGACGGATGCTTGGTGTAATATCGGATTAAGAACCGAGTCTGACTCTAATACCAACGATTACGAGATAGGTGCTAACACTCAACTCATATATACACATCCATTTTTCCATCTAGCACATTCATTTTTCCATCCAGATCCAATGTGTGACAATTAGACTAGGAATCGATTTAAGACCGGCATGGTGCCATCATGGGGCAAAAAATTGGGCTGTAAATTTGACCCGTGACCCATATTAATAGGGCTATTTTCAAATTCAAACCCCAAAAATAAAAAGAAAAAATTCACCCCCAATAATTTTAACGTTGCATCTAGGAAATTCTTAGAACAGACACTATATCATTGCTGGGCGGTAGACAATCAATTAATATAAGCACCATAGGGTGCAGGAAAAGGGTAAACCACCGTTAAATCAGGGTGAGAATAGGAATTCATATCGAGATCCAAATATACACTATTGGAATAGTATGACTCTTGCTAGATCATCATCATCAACATTCATGCCATTTTCTCATATGGATGAGATGACCGGATGAATTCTATTTTTCCATTTTCTTTAGATTTAAGTTCTTGTCAGCCTCTTTGTGGCTTACCTTCTAGGTAAACAACTCTTCCTCTTCTAATCGTTGCATCGTCTGGTCTCCTTAGATCCAATGTAGGGTTTGCAAACGTCAAGTCAGAATAACAGCAGAACAATTTACCAGGCAGAAGAACCTTGCACATATTAGCCAAATACAGCATAACCTTACATATTGATTGCAAATACCATAGGTAAAATAGATTCATACGTAGACAGATACATTTATTAAACATAGAGGTTCATCTGATTCCATTCTAGTCCTAGACACCATGCATAGGTTCAGAACTCTTGAGCGCCAAAAACATTTGTAGTCATAATTTAGACAAAATTCACGCATTAACCTTTGGCTCCCATCCTGCAATTACATGCTCTTTCGCAGCCTTGGTTTTCTCAAATGACTCCCGAGAAAAAAGCAGCTGTTGAACAAGAACATAAATATCATTAACATTAGACAACTTAAACAGCATCCATTTTCATATATATAGATAGAGAGAGAGAGAGAGAGATACATGTATGTATATACATACATATATAGAGAGAGATGCTTGTTATTCCAATTCCAGCTGTAATAGAAGTTTTATATGTAACACAAATTACTTTAGTTTATAACCAAAAAGGGCTCATCCTTAATTTATTTGGATTATTTGCGAGTGTGAGAATTAGCCTGTCATCTGTTAATTTCGTATCCATAATGTTAACGAATCAGCAGCTAAGAAGATCAGAAGGATCTTCCATATGTCTGAGTCAGGAGGGACTAGGTGATTCTACGAGAAAATCTGGTAACCTAGTTGTAAATTTCTCTCACTCAATGGATTTTAATCTACCAGACTAAGTTCCAAGGTTTGTCCCTCTTAGGGTTTTTTTTGCATAAATCTAGTGCATTTTTGTGTGATTGCTTAATTTATTTATATTTGCCTATACTTTAACTAATTCACATTGCTCTGTCTTAGATCAATTGTTAAACTTAAATCAATTGTTGATAATTAAAATTGAACCAAACCCATTCAGCCCCATCTAGATCTATTTTGGTCTTAGCGCATTTAGACATATCAAATCCTTCATGTTTCTAGGAAGTCAGTCCTTGCCCATGTCAATCACATAATTGAAGCTACCACAGATGCTGATTAGGCTAGAATTTAATGAAGACGTGAAACAGGAATGGAGTATTGTACATGTAAACCTAATCGGTGTTACATGGCCTCTCCTATTTCTTTAACGTACTTATGTCGACGAGACACGACATATGAAATACGTGTCCAACACACGTTTCCAGATTCTGTAACTTTGAGATGGAAGAAGAAAAGATCCAATTGTATATCTGTTCGCGCGGTTTTTGTTCCCTACGCCGGTCGATGGACTCTTCGTGGACGTGCCAGAGTATTTGTACAAAATACCCAAAATATGTAATTGAACACCAGCCTATCCCTTTTTCCGATGGCTGACTCTCAGGCGATTGTGTGGGAGAGAGACTAGTAAGAACTCCCAGCAAGGTTCTTTTATGCCTTGTTTGTAGCAAGGACTTTTAGAGTGTCTAAAGAAATGCAACAGCTGATGAATGTTTGAATGGATGGAATGGCCGAGTGAAGACAGGCGGCAAGAACTTAATCGATCGCCGGCCGAACGTGATGGCGAGAACTTAATCAATCGCCATCAGCCAAACACAATGGCAAGAATTTAATCGATCGCCACTGAAACGTGATAGCAAGAATTTAATCAATTGCCATCAGCCAAGTAATGACAAGAATTTAATCAATTGTCACTACGATTCAATGGCAAGAATTTAATCAATTGCCATTGAATTGAAAGCCTAACTAAAATTGCGTAATTAAAATTGGCATAATTGAAATTGAAAGAAAGTAAATGGCTGAATTGAAATAGTTGACAATGATCTAATCAATTGCCATTAAATTGAAATAAAGAAATTGATAGGAAAAAATGACGTAGAGTCAATTGAAAACATTTTTAGTTGAAATGCATATTTTGTGGTGGTGCTGGACGAATTGGAAATGGAATACAATACTTCTATTTATAGAAGTTCTATCTCAACTTATTTTCCTAATTAATTGCTAGAAAATCTCTTTACTCCTTGATTTTCTTCACTTTATTACTCAAACTAAACCACGTTCCAGTAGTCTTTTGCGTCTCTTCTCTTCTTGTTTCAATAGGAAAGTCCTTGCTGAAATCTCTCCTTGATCCAGTCAAATGCAAGTTGTCGAATTGTTGCTGAAAAGTTGCTAAAGAAGTTGCTAATTTTTAGCAACTTCTTTCCTTATACTTGGTCACCGTTTCTTCTCTTAAATTGCCCAAAAGCCATTTATCGCTTTTATATTCATGACGCGGCTGCCTTTTGTATTTTTCCTTGTTCCATCTAACTAGAATTCCTATAAAATAGGAATTCAGTTGTCTGATTTCCTTAAAACTTTAGTCTTTCCTTTCCTGTTAATAACCCAACTTGAATAAAGTCAAATGTTTGTTGCTATATTTTAGCAACTGCCTTGTTAATGAAGTGGCTGAATAACTTTCTCCAATACTTGCTCCTGATATTTCTTAACTGGCTGATTCCCTTGACGCCATGTTAAAAATACTTATCAGCTTTTCATTGGTCCACGTCATCGCTGAGATGGCTGCCAAGTTTTGGTGCCAACAAATGCCCCCTAAATTTCAAATGTCTTATCGGCCACTCAGGCCGATTAGATTTTTGGAATTTTTAAAACATGAAAGAAACTTGCAGCCAACAAGCTTCTAGACTTTATTTCTTCCGAACCACCTCTAAGTTGGTCTTTATTTTGCGTCAACCAGGACTGGCCGATCCTGGTTCTTCTATTATTCCCACAAAGATGGCTGATACCCCTCAAAATATTGGCCATTTATAAACCTATGATAGACCTCACCATTGAAGTTTCCCAACTCTACTAGTAAGGCATGATCGTGATCGGCCGGGATCAAGCAGTTATGTAATGTCATTTGGGCCGATCTAACTGGTTTCTGTTTTGAAAGAACAAAATTTTGCCAGTATGGAGCTTTTCTGATGGCTGATCCTCTTGAATTTTTATACTCCCATGGAGCTTCTGAAAGTACGCCATCCCATGTTTTTGAATAATCATTTTCTTTGATGACTTCAGCTATATTAGCCAAAAATACCAAAAATAGTATTTCTTTTGTGGCAGATTTTTTATCTGTCGGGTAAGCTTTCAGAATGTCAGCAGCCATGTTGGCCTGACGACTCCTTAATTCTTTATTTGGCACCTCAACAGCTAGCCGATGAAGCATTATCCACGGCCAAAATACCTTTCTGATTAACCCATCAGCCAGACTTCTTTTCATTGTGGCCGATAGTGGTCGCCCCATTTTATTTGTTCTTAACAGAACATGATTCTCTTTGTGTAGCACTGCATCGGCCATGCAAAATTTTGCATTAATTGGCCGATTCATTTTCTTCCGCGAATTTCTTCTCCACTTAACCCTTTTTAGTTTCCATCCCCGCTTTCTTTTCTTGAAATTCAGTTGAGGACGACAAGCTAAAAGAATTCTCTCAGCCAATGATGATTCTGGCTGAGGATTAGATACCACTCTCGTTCAAGCATTCTGGTAATCTGGCCGATTTGATCCTGAAATTCTTTTACCTTTCCATTTAGGGCAACAATCATGTTGTATGAGAGCCTTGACATTCGGAATGGCTGATGGTGTACTCTCGGTAACCTTAGGCTAATTCCCTTCATCAACCTTCCTTTTGGGAGCCTGGCCGATCACATTACTACCTGGTAAGAAAATATCATTGTCGACCTCCATGACTTCATCATCTGCTCCCTCTTTGGCAGATATGGTAGATGTTTGAGTGTCGAATGTGGCTGATTTTGGCTTTTTGTACATTGGTCGACCTATTCGCTTAAGGCCATTACCATATTCTTGCTTAATAGGATCAGCCAACTGAACCTTATCGACCGTCGTTGGCTGATTAAGATAATCAATGACCGGTCGATCTTGATTTACCACCAGCGGCTGATAATAATTCGGCCAGCCTTCTGGCTTATCATTGATCATTTTTTCAATGATCTCTATTAAAATTTTGTTTGAAGATTCGGCTTGGCCATTTGCTTGAGCATAGTATGGCGTAGAGGCTGACATATGAATATTCATGTTATGGCCGAATTGTAGTACATCAGTTACCCTAAATACTGTTGCATTGTCTGAAACAAATGTTTCTGGAATCCCAAATCTGTGGATGATGTTTTGTTCCATGAAATTAATCACTGTTTGCTGATTAACCGCTTTGCATGCCTTGGCCTCAACCCATTTAGTAAAATAATCTGTGGCAACAATCACCCAGTGATGGCCTTCGCTTGATGGTGGATTAATTTTACCAATAAGGTCAAGGCCCCAACCTCTGAATGGCCAAAGTTTGATTATTGGCTGCAATTCTTTTGCTGGTACATTTTGAATCGGCCCGTGTCTTTGACAAGCTTGACAACCTTTTGAGTAATCTATGCAATCTTTCCTCATTCTCGGCCAATAATATCCATACCTGCGAATCAGCCATCTCATTTTAATCCCAGCTTGGTGAGCCCCACAGCTGCCCTCATGTACCTCAGCCATAACCTGAAGTGATTCATCCTTGCTTATGCATTGTAGTAAGAGCCCATCTTCTAACCCTTTTCTGTATAGATCCCCATCTAGAAGCACAAAGTTGATCGCTTTTCTTTTAATACTTCTATCAGCCTTGATGTTTGGATTTCGAAGGAACATTATAAATGGTATCCTCCAGTCATCGTCGGCCAAATCTTCTACATCAATTGTCCAAGTATCAAACATAGTATTTCTCAATTCGGCCGATGGCAAAGATCTTCGTATTATCTTTATCAACTGATCTTCTATTCCGGCTGGTACTCTTATTCCAGAGGCTGCTTGAGCCATGCTGTTGGCCTCCTTATTCTGCCCTCTCGGCCAGAACTTAAGTTGAACATTATCAAATTGATTAATTAATGAAGTGGCCAGAGAATGAAACGGCCTTAATTGCCAACTTAGGCACTTAAAATCTTCAGAAATTTGGCTAAGGACTAAGTTTGAATCTCCCAAAATCTTTACATCTCTAACAGCCATTTCAATTAAAATCTCCAGGCCGATTATAAGCGCTTCATATTCGGTCTGGTTATTTGAACATTTAAAATCTAAAAAGAAAGAGAATGAAGCCTTTCTGCCAGCTGGCGAAATAATAACAATACCTGCTCCTGCTCCATCAGCCATGCTTGATCCATCAAACATCAAGATCCAAGGAGTTAAGAATATAGCTGATGACTCCAATTCATCATAAACCCATGGATCAATATCAGTTGAAGGATGATCGGCCAAAAAATCAGCCAGAACCCTTCCTTTTACTGATTTTTGTGAGACGTAGATAAAATTGAATTCCATCAAAGCC